TTTGTTGTTTGTTTGTAAGTTTGTTTGTTTGTTTGTAAGTTTGTAAGTTTGTTTGTCTGTCCGGAAATTCGGTTGAAGAACGACTTGGAGAGGTCGGGTCAAGGTGGGGATGGGTAGAGCATGGGACAAGAAATAAAAAGCACACTTGACCTATGCGGAAGCCCCGCCCACAGTGGGCGGGGCACTCGCTGAAATCCCCGAAGACATCTCCAATATGGGCAAGGGCGTACTCAAGGTGGGCGGTGCTTCTCATAAAACTCAGTAACCCGGTTCGCGAGAGTGTTTAGAAGTCGCAAAAAGCTCAGTGCAGAATGTAAATATCTGGCGAATTGGGCACGCTCAAAGTGTGTTGAGACCCGCCCACAGTGGGCGGAGCTTGCCCTAAATCGCAGGATACTCATTTTAAAAGTTTGTAGCTCGGTTCCAGAACACTCCAGAAACCGGAAAAAAGAGGATCAAGGTCAGCGAGAGCTGGGCCGATTGAGGATTGTGGGGCACAAACATTGTGGGCGGGGCCTGCTCCGAGGTGGGCGGAGTCAGACGAAAAATCTGTAAAATAGTTTCAGAGCACTCCAGACACCGGAAAAAAGTGGATTAAGGTCAGCAGAGGGTCGCCGGTGAGGATTGTGGGGCACAAACATTGTGGGCGGGGCCTGCTCCGAGGTGGGCGGAGCCAGACAAAAATTCTGTAAAACGGTCCCAGAGCACTTCAAAGACCGGAACAAATTGAGTTGGTCGCCCATTGAGAAATGTGGGGCATAAATGTTGTGGACGGGGCCAGCCCGAGGTGGGCGGAGCCAGACAAAAAAATCTGCAAAACGGTCGAGACACCGTCAGCATGTAAGCAGAGATGTGCAGGACCTCAACTGTTGGATATATGGCAAGAGTTGAGTGTGTCTGTGGTGTGTTGTAACCCGCTCCCAGTGGGCGGAGCGCACGACGTACTTATTCTTACTGAGTTTTAGCGCGTATTCTGCCATACTCTTAACCACCGGTCGTCATAGGTATTAGATTCCAGTCGGCTCGCCACACATTCCTTCCCCAGCTATTCTCTCGCCTGTGCCCATCGACGCACTTTAGTACCACTCCATACTCAGTAATAGTCAAAATAGCAGGGATGATGTATTTGTCGAGAAGCTTTAACCATGAGTACAGAACAAAAGCCTGATATCAGTTGAGTCTAGAAATATGTGAAAGAAGGTACGCGCGGCGAAGCCGCGCCCGCCCGGCGCAGCCGGGCCGTATCAGAAGGAGGCGCGCCGGCGTCAGCCGGCGAGCCGACTGGTTTATATATGGCATCTCAACAGAGCGCGAAACAAGAACTACTGTCAATTAGAACGCGTTCTGTTCACTGCTCTTTTCGCCCTAACTTGATGCCTGATCACTGGCCCTGACTCCATTACTGTTGTGCAGGATCCATAGAGGCTCGGATTTGCGCGTGGAGGGAGTGGGGGGGGGGGGTGAGAGAGAGAGAAATTAACCTATGACCCTATCCAGTGTGGCTTTTTGGTCGCAGATGGGAGCGAGGGGCGAGGCCCTGCGCCTCCAACAGTGTGCTCCAATAACGAGCAACCATTGGTAATTTGCCAAAACTTCGTCCACACCTATACCGTGAGCGCGAATACAGGTTTTAATTTCACGCAAACAGCGGCCTGTCCGGGCGGGAAGGATAGGCGGCTATTTGCGATATTCTGCCGGAACCAGCATGAACCACTTATCACAGATCAGCGTTGCCGGCTCATCTGCGCGGCAACGCTGACCCTCATATGAGTGGTTCATGCTCCCATTCCGGCTAACCATCATCCAGACTGTAACACCTTTTGTCTTTTCTACTGCTTAATCCTCAGCACTGTGCGTTTTCAGTTGTTTGTTTCCTTCGTCATCGTATTTGAAGAAATGAGAGCGGTTATGGCCTCCATTTGCCTGCATTGCTCAGTGTACCTTTTACAATGTAAAGACTATCGTACCGTTTTCTTTCACAGCTTAATCGGTTTGCAGCTTATGGGATATTCGCCTAAGGTCAGTGGAAGAAGGGAGAATAAAAAGGAGGACGAACTGTGTGTGTCTTTAGTCAGTTATTCCTTTCCTATTGGCAAACCGCTCACTTCTTAGTCTTACGAGGAGTTCAAGATTTCCTCTCGAAGCATTCTTTTTCCTCACCCTTGCCTCATCAGCCACCTAGCTCGTCCGTTATGACCAACGAACGGCTGAAAGCTCCTATAATTGTCAATGAAGATATCATCACGTCGAGTGGGGAGAAGAGTTCGAAAGTCTGCTGCAGAAGAGCCAACCACAACGCAACGTTAGCAAACGCCCTGTCTTTCGTTCAGCCCTCATTGCAGACCGGACCAGTCATAGAACTACGACAAGACGAAGTTCTCGCGGTCGCAGACAAGCATCCAGCTGTCTGGGATTTTTCGATCAGCACAGTGAAGCGGGAAGCTTCGACGCGTCCATTCCCATTCTGGTGGCATTCCCAAGGGAGAAAAGCAGGATAAGAAGCATCCTGCAAACAAGGTAGGCAGGGATCGTCGCCATCATTATGGCCTCTTTGGCGTACCGGCCCTTTCGATCGGGAGGAGCAACTTGGGGGTGACTTCCTACCCCTTCGTCCCCTTACGCTCGCAGTGACGCTCTCAGGAGCTCCGACTTAAATGAAGCAAGTTATCCCTACTGGAGCCTCTTAAAGAGCGGCGGCAAGCCAGTGGGTTTCTACTTCGACAATCCCTGACACAGTTCTCAGCTGGAGGAATTTATAGAAGTATTTCGTTCTGTTTGGCATCGACTTTCGTGCTAAGCGCGCTCCACAAAAAACACGGGTTCATGCATGTTTGCGTATTTCAACCAGAAATGACATTTACTAGGAAAAACTCTTGGTCAGCGTTTGAATTTTCGTCTTTTGTAGATTCGGGATTCGTAGCCTCGTAAGGAGCCAAGCTTGCTGACCCGACTTCTTTAAAGTTGATTCCACCTCAGTGGGGATCAGCAAGAAACAGATTTTTCCTCATAGATGCTTCGCTGAACGCAAAATCAAGTTTAAAGATGTGGCTAAAGTTCTCTCCCCTCCTCAAGGGGGTGGGGGGATGGGGGGATTCATGAGCACATTTAACTTCAAGTCCGGGTACTATGCCTTGTGAATGCACTCCGATTGGACCAAGTCCCCGGGATTTATTTGGAGGGGAAAATTTTATAACATCCACGTTCTTTTCGTCATATCCTCCTCTTCCTTCCTTTCATTTCCACTGAAGTATCCAGACCTCAGGAGATGGAGAGAGAAGTATTATCGTAGTCCCGTTCCTAGATGATGGGCTGATCTGAGCTGACCACAAGCTTGGCGAAAAATTTGTCAGAACTATCAGAAAGAATCGGAATTTGCGGGCTTTGCCATGGCTGAACATGAATATTTGAGGAATTTTTTCTTGCATATGATCTCGAAGAGGAGGAAAGTCCGCTCTTTAGCCACTAGGCTTCTCACTATGAAGTGGACGGGCTATATTTGGTCTTACTTTCAGATCTGAAACGCAAGTGGCGAGCCATTATAACATAAGTAGCGGAGAGGCAATCGAGAGGCAATTCCCTTCAGATCCATAAGAAAGAAGTGAGTGATTAAGTTGGATAGGTTCAATGGATCTTTTCTGTTAGTTCCTTTTGGTGGTCTTGTAAGAAATCTATTTTGCATCTGCCACACCATCCTCAACATCCGCTACGCTCCCCAGTGAGGACTTCTTCCAAAGCTCGAGAACTGTACGCAATCTAGCCTCAAAGCTTTCGCAAGATATGCCTCCGGAGAGTGCAGATGGTTTCGCTATGGTTGATGCGCAGTCGATGTTGAAGAAAATGAGTCTGAGACCAAGCCTTTGACTAATCGCGTAAGCTTAGGACCAAGCCTTCGACCAATCGCGTCAACTTTGCAACCTGTGCGGAGCAGGCTTTCTTTCGATTCCTGGATCTTACATAGTGGAAGCCGATGCGGCTTTCTGTCCCATGTATCTGGATGAATGGAGAGTATCCGGTTTTTTCTTCGCTGAACTAACGGTCCCAATTCCCACTTCGGCTTATCGTTCTCATCCAGACCTCCACCGTCCCTAGTCTTCCAGCGAGAGTGGTCTAGCCTCTTGCTTATTTCTCTGCGAATTCTCCTATCAAAAATCGCCACTTCGCAGCTGAATGGACGGCAGTTTCAGCTGCCAATCAATCGGAGATTGGTGGGAGTGGCGGAGGCCATCCATCGCGGTGAAAATCGCTCCGTAGCTACCATGTAGCAGCGCTGATCCATTTTTTTGGCCCTCTGCCAGGGGCAGACGGAGATCTCCTCATGGCCTGGCTGAATGGCACAAAGTGGAATTGGGGCTCCCGTTCGTGACAGGCATAAGCCCTGCAAAGCGGACCTGAAAATGGTCATCAAGATGGCTCTGTCCAACTTCTCTGACAGCATACTCGCAGCTACCAGCGTTGTTCTTCTGTTCGGATTGTGTGAAAGGGTTTCCCTTCAGCTTTTCTTTGCTTTACTGCAACAATGGTTTAGTGGGACAGTTCTTTGTTAGAAGTTCATTGTGTTCCCACAGTAATATGGATGCAATTCTATTTTCCAATGCATGTTCTACGCTTCTATGTGGATTTTGTCTCAGAATATGCATTATTATTTGGATGGATTTATACTGTCTCTCTGTCGTGATTCACCACAATGAGTAAACAGTAGAGTCTAGCCTGAATAGACAATACTGAATTC